TATACCCAATTAAATATATGATTCTTACATTTCTAACAGTCAGTATACCCAATTAAATATATGATTCTTACATTTCTAACAGTCAGTATACCCAATTAAATATATGATTCTTACACTTCTAACTTCAGTATACCCAATTAAATATAGGATTCTTACATTTCTAACAATCAGTATACCCAATTAAATATGGGATTCTTACACTTCTAACATTCAGTATACACAATTAAATATAGGATTCTTACATTTCTAACAATCAGTATACCCAATTAAATATGGGATTCTTACACTTCTAACATTCAGTATACACAATTAAATATAGGATTCTTACACTTCTAACAATTAGTATAACTAATTAATTATACAATTCTTATATTTCTATTTTAAAAATTTTGAACCAAGTTATAATAATATTTAGTATTCTTTAGTAAATGATGTTACAGTAAAAGGTTAATTATCTTTAGTAGAAATTGTTGGATTATCTGTATTAATTCTGCCAATATTGTGAAGTTTATATTACAGAAAATCACCAGGAGACTCAATGTGACGTTGAGACACTAAACGTCAAGTGTCCTGTGCCTTTAAATAAATGAAGTGGAAAAAGAGAGAAAAGGGTGAAGTGTAATGAGTGATAAGAACAAAAACGGTTTTGGATTCTATTTATATAAACTTTTAGTTCAAGTTACTTATCATCACTCTGGTAAGATCTCATATGGAGTACTGTGTTCAGTTTTGGTCTCCTTATTATAGAAAAGATATCGAAATGCATGAAAAAGTTCAGATAGGCTAACTTATTCCTGGTTTAAGTTATGAAAAACTACTCAGTTTCATGTTATTTTCCCTGGAACTTAAAAGAACTACAGATGACCTGATTCAAATATTTAGAATCATTAAGGACTTTAACAAAGTTATTCATCAGAGGATTTGGAATGGAAGGATGAGATTGCATTTGTTTGTTTGTTAAGCACAAAGCTACACAATGGGCTATTCGTGCTGTGTCCACCATGGGTATTGAAATTCAGTTTCTAGCATTATAAGTCTGCCGACTTACCTCTGTGCTACTGAGAAGTAAAAAGGTTGGGAATGAAATATTTTATGCTAAATAAAATAACTAGATGGTTCAGGCTCATTATTGGCATCTTTTTTTAATAAGTATAATATTGGAATTAATTACCAGATGATGAGGTGTGTGATGGTATGCTTTAAATTTCTTGGAATTTGTATTGAATAATTTTATGGTTATATTTAAGTTTGGCAGGTGACTTTGACTGGACAAATGGACTTTAATAATGACTTAAGGTCTCATGAATTTCATCCTTCAACTATTCAGATATTTTCTTGTACATTTCTCTATATTTTTGTGCAAGTATTCTACATGTAGTATGACATCTACTCATCGCTTTATTCAGATAAAGACTTACACACACACACACACACAAAACACTTGCAGTCAAATTAGTATCGATATTTGAACATTACTACTTTAAATACAGAATTCCAGGACAATTCAAGGACAATTCTACCATTGTTCGGCTTGCATTAAGTGAATGTGGTGTGGTCCCAACCTCCAATAAATGAACTTTCATGCTTAACAATATATTTAAGGCTGGCACACCTGAAATGTTGATATGTTTTGAGCAGTTTACTGTTAATGAGAATAAATTTTATGTAAGTTATAAAGTAATTATTTTTTGTATAACATAATATAAAAAAATCATTATGCTTGATATTTATAGACTTTATTTAATATTTCTACAAAACATCAGTTTGACATAATCATTAGCAGCCTTAACTTCAGATTCAGGGCCACTCGTAAAATTAGTGAGGTATGTTCTAGGTATGCTTGGAATTAATGGTGTCAGTTTATGCAATACTGGTGTTTTCTTAGATTTTAAGGTCACACACCTTAATATATTATCCGTTTTACAAAAAACAATTATCTCTTGTTATAGTCCTTTCACTTCATATCATTTTATCTTCACACCAAAGTGTAGTTCAGTGTTAAACTGGTTGTTTGTCCATTTTTAATTTGTATCACTAAAAATGAAAACAGACTTAATACATTTCAACATTGTCGTCTCTACTTAAATATCTGCCATGCTTTTATTATAGTCAATGTTAAATAAACATTTTCAACTAAACTGACGCATTCAAACACCCAATAAACATTATCAATAGTCTCTCTCAAGATGACGCATCTAAAAAACTTGATGCAAATTCCAATAATACAGAAACTACCAAAATAATTTGAGGGCTAAAACTGTTTTGTGGTCGGTTGTTTGACAGCAAACAAACTCTTCACTATTTTCACCTATGAATTAAACTTATTTAATTTTTAGCTACAAGTTCAACATATTCACATTATAAGTTAATCAATAATTTTTCATGTAATGGCAATTATGAGATGTATACAGTAAAATGACCATATATAACATGTTCTGGGACTACGTGGGACCTATTGGTCCATCTTCTAACCTAAATTAAAATAAAAAAATCTTAAAGCTAGCCCTTATCATTGATACACTCATCAAGCTTTCTCTTAAACTCACTTATATTTACTGCCTCTACAACATCTGAAGGCAACCCATTCCAAAAACCAACCACCCTGTTAGAAAATTAAACTGTATTAGCTGAAGATGACTCCTACCTTGCCAAAATTTATACTGGTGGCCCCTAGTTCTACTATTCTCATTGTTAAATATAAAAAATGATGATACATCAACACTATCAATTCCCTTTACAATCTTAATCACCTCAATCAGATCCTCCCTAACTCTTCTTTTTTCAAGAGAAAACAATTTGAGAGATTTTACCCTCTCCTCGTATGACAACCCCTCCGTCCCAGGCATCATTCTAGTAACACTTCTCTGAACCATTTCCAACAATTCAATGTCTTTCTTTAAGTAAGGAGCCCAAGACTGAACACAATATTCCAAATATGGCCTAACCAGTGACCTATACAATAAAATTATAACCTCTTTAGACTTGTATTCAGTATTTCTGTAGATACAACCTAAAATCCTATTTGCCCTACCACTAGCAACAGCACACAGCTTGGATGACTTTAGAGACTGATCGACTATTACACCAAGATCCCCTTCCTTCATAACACTGCTAAGGTTATTCCCATTCAAATTACATTTATAATTCAAATTATGATAACCTACATGCATTATCTTACATCTAT